GCTTCTGTTGTACATATGAATTCAATTCACTTGGGCATGAGAACAGCAAATGTAGTTTGAGCCCTCACGTAGACTTGTTAGTCTGAGGTGTTCTCCACAGGCTTTGAGATGCTTATCAGGATAAGCTAACACAACAGTGTGATATCATCCTTTGTACGCTTATGTGGTGATTAGCATCAACACTTTTATTTCCCCTGCCAAGGAGTGGGGCTGACTATGACACATCATTAAGTGTTTGGTGCAGGAGAGCACACCAGCACTCTAAGAAAGGTTTACATATTCGAAAGCAACCTGTATCCAGGCTTTCTCTACTTATGATCTCTTAATTGAGTGCCAGTGGTCTTTGTATAGTCATAATACAAATAAAAGAGCAACTAATTGTCCTGATTAAGAGCTGTGAATTGATATCCTTTGTTTGCTCCACTCTTTTTGATGGTAAGAGTTGAAAGACTTCTTTTTGTTTGTGTGGGAAGGTGCAATGAATCAAGTTGCAAGCAAGCAAGCAAGAGAAATCACCAAAAATGTATGTTTCTATAGAGATTTGTATTGTACATTATTTTTTTTTTTTATTTGAAATGTAATATGTCCATATATATTTATGTGAAGGTTCTCAACTAGTAGTAGTTAGTAACATATGTAACAGGGGGAGCCTAAAATGTCCCTAAAAGTGCCTGTTAAATATAGTCCTAGTTATTATCGAAATATGAAAAAACAATACGTTTTTAAAGTTCTCAATCTCCAAACACTATAATTTAGCATGCACGTGCTTGAATGCATGACGTGTAACTTCAATAAAAAAAAGAAAAATAAATAGACTTCCACTATATAAACCCAGCTAACCCATCCAAGCCTAAGGCAACCCACATGAATGTATTTAAGTTCCCATAAGATCGTGTATGTATCAGATGTGCATGGCAACCTTCTTCTCTCAGCTTCTCTCTTCAGTTAAGATTTGAAAATGAAAGAGAGAAGCTGATTGGTTGCCATGCACAGCTGCTCTATATTTTCTCTGCTTCACTTTTGATAAATCTCCCTCATGGTTTTTTTGGCCCCTGGTTCTATATGGCTTATCCTTGTTACTGGTATTCACAGGGAGCTATGTGCAGCACCAACTCTACCCAGTGAATATAGGCATTCACGTTCACACACAGTAGTTATACAGGTTGGTTAAGCCCACCGCATAAATGGCCACCTGCCCAGTATTCATAATCTACATAGTCAATGACGTTTGTACAGCTGGACAATTTAACTTGTGCAACTTTTGGCTTGTGCACATATATGTATGCACATATAGTGTATGTGTGTATATGTGTGTGCGTGCGTGTATGTATATATATATATATATATATATATATATACACACACATTACTATTTTATATCGTTTTAATATGTATGCATTAAAAAGCATGTGAATCTTCACCACAACATTAAAATACAAACATAAAACAAACCCTATAACATCTCCGAAACTCACACATAGGGGGTCCTACATGTATCACTTATATACCAAAAACTGTTACATAATATACATCTTTAGTAAGTGCTTGATATCTCAGAAGTAAGCACAGTATATGTTGCTAGTGTAACAATGTGGGTAAGTAAAGCACCATAAAATACTGAGTGCCGAGCCGGATATTGCACCAGTCCTAAGAGCCATATAACAGGTAGGTATGTCTAGCTTTTCAATGGATATCCAAATGTTTACTGGGTCCCAGGCATATACGAGGGTGAGTCAAAAATTATCCACACTCCGGTTATATTTAAACTTCTGTTGGCCACACTGTCTTATCAGCGCTTTCCGTTCAAGGCCACTGTCTCCCCAGTCACTGCTGTGCAGGTGTGGACATGTTACGTCGGTTTATTTGTAACTGTGGTGAAAGAAAAAACAGATGCCCCACTTGTGATTTGGATGAAAGAAGATCATCGTGCAGTCAATAATTTGTTGTGGTCTGAGGGTGTGCCTGGTGCTGTTATTTATCGAAGACTTTGTGCGTAGTATGGATAAAGTGTTTTGTCGCAAAGAAGTGTGTATGAATGGATAAAGAACTTGAAGAAAGGTTGCACAAGTGTTAGTCATCAAGGAGCCAGACACCCGTCCACAACCACGACTAACGACAACATTGAGCGTACACCTCTTGCTCCATTGGACTTTCACCTGGTTGGTCCCCTGAATGCAGCCCTAAGAGGATGAAGATTCACCTCTGATGAAGAAGTGAAGACAGCGGTGCATTCATGGCTCGCAGAAACATTTTTAATGAGGGAATAAGAAAGCTTGTTGACAGATGGACAAAGTGAATTGAAAAGCAAGGAAATTATGTCGAAAAATGATGCATGTTTGACTCACCCTTGTATGATCTAAATATATAAAGTGTCCAAAAATGTAGACCTCACACTGCAGTGAGCGAGTGCTATGTATCAGGTTGTCAGGACAAATGTATCCATGCATACCATGGGTAATACAGGCTCAAACAATATTGCTTCTGTCTCCTTTATCCTTTACATCCTGGGCGACTGATGTCCCACGTCCCCCGCTGCACTGTCCAAGACAACTAACTCACTTCAAAGTAAATGCAGAGTACATGCATTCACACAGGCACAAACATTGTTTATCCTGTCTCCTGCATGTGAGGTGTCCTGGGGGCTAGTAATCAATAATACGAAATCACCTGCACTCCATACAGCGTACAGACCTTGAGTAAGAGGTTGGTGCTTCTTCTGGGCGACATAGTCACCATAGCCCCTATGTCGCCCAGAAGAAGGGACCCTGCATGGCCCCGAAACGTTGGCTGTTTGACGCATGTGACGATTGAATAAAAAGTGTTTTACTTCTTGCACATATCATCGAGTGCTGGTGACTTCTATTATGGACTGAGGGCTAGTAATTTGCAAGCAAGCAAAAAAACTAATCACCAAAATGTATGTTTCTATAGAGATTTGTATTTTACATTGCCCTTTTTATATTTGACATGTAATATGTCTATATATATTTCTATGAAGGTTCTCATTTATCCAGATCTTGGGATAGCTAGTAGTAGTTAGTCGCATTCAGCTGGACTGTTGAAAATGTCAGAACTGATGAAGTGGCTTGCATAAGCTATGAAATGTCTTCGACATAACAGAACAAGTCCACCTGAATGTGACGAGCTAATACTAACAGTGCCCATATATTATTGCATAAAAAAAAATCTATATAATTATAGCTCAGTTTTACATCTAAAAAAATACAATTTTAACTGCTTGAGCGGTCCTGAAGCAACAAATAGATGATTTATAATACAGAGACCTCTGGCAGTCCACAATGTCTGCCAAATTCAGGGTATTTTTTATTTTATTTTATTTTATTGACTAAATTGGAATCCCTTTTAATAATTGGAAAAATGCTATTTGTAGATTGTCATTATGTTTGTACACAAATATAAACATATTTACATATTCCCCATTTGAGGCATGCTTCCTGCTTAGTAATGTTCCATTTTTATTACTTTTCCTCATACCTCACTGCAAGTTTATTAGTTAGATAATGATTCACTGAAAACAATAAGACCTCTAGTTTCCTCTTGTAATTGGGTTTTCTCTCAGCAGTAATTTACTATGTTATGTGAGGGTTATTGGACATGTGAGCAGGCAAGAAATTTGGTTCGTTTCAGATTTTTCTTTATTTGGTTTTTCAGGATTCGGGTCTGAAAGTCAATTTGTTTTTCGGGGATTTGGATGAATCGCAAATTTTCATTAATTTCGGATGTTAAATTATATTTCCGAACAAATTTTCGTTGCAGCAAAGTGACATTAGAAAAAAACTGAAATTTTTCTTTTTATATTTTGACAGTCTACAGAAACAATATAAAGGGGTGGAGCAAGTTGTGATGTCATGACTCGCTCCGCCCCTTTGTTGATATTTGGGAGCAGAGCTGTTATTATGACAGCTCTGCTGCTGAATGTCAGGGTATTCCCGAGTGTCGGGTATTTTTTCCATCATCCTTCGTGATTGACGTAGATTACATCGATGGACACTTTTTTTTTTAAATGAGACTTGTGGGTTTTATTTTTTTTAAATAAATCATTAGACAATGTAATTGACGTTTGAATTACATTGATGGACTCTTCTGGGTTTTTTTTAAATAAAAGACTTTTACACATAAAGGACTTTTTTATGCTGTTGTGTGTTTGTTTCCAATTTTACTTTATTTTGCGAATGAGAAGGGGTGGCATCTGGGTGCCTTCTTTATGAAAAGTTGCACCCTGATTCCTATAACCTGCCCACAGACCCCCACAAGCATCGGGCCAGGGTTGTGGTGAAGAGGCCCTTGTCCTCATCAACATGGGGACAAACCAGGCTCCTATTAGTGTTTACCAGACCACACATTTAAAAAGTCTAGGCACTTGCTCATGTTATCTTTGTATAAGGTTAACCAGTTTAAACTCTGGCACACTATAGCACAAATCATTTGACCAAGTGCCAGAGATGTTCAGCTGTTTGGCAAACACTAATAAGGGCATTACACTGCTTCTATACTTTATTACTGCCAGCAATACTTTTAATTGTTAATGTTCACATTTTGGTTAAAGAGCTTTGAATGTCTATAAAAATCACATGTAATCATACACATGTGGAATCCCCAAGCCAAGGGAAGGGAGGCTCACATGGAACATTGTGATGATTGTGGTACCTAAGGACCCTCCAGAAAAAGGGCTAGTCACAGATGGGCTTCCTACAACCTTTTTTCCCCCCCATATCATTTCTTCTCTTCAGGTGAAGCCTGATACTATAATAATTCATACCAGCAGAAACGAATATCGATTTAGCATACGCAGTATATTACTATGTTCAGTTTAGGGTAGTTGTACTGTATCATTTTGAATGATTAGTTTTCCATTTCTATGTAAAGCTTTGAAAATGTTTTCCTAACTATGTGAATAGAACTAAGATGCATCCGTTTTAGTGTTTGTAACATGGCTGTTGTCAACTCTTCTTGACTGTTTTTTCTCTCTTCCGTTAAAGCACCCAGCGCTGTATCTGATTTAAATGCAAAAGAGGTGGAAGCTAATTTTATAACTGTTAGCTGGCGACGGCCACCACAACCAAATGGCATCATCACACAGTACAGAGTCAGAGCTTTTGTTAAGGAAACAGGAATGGCCATTGAGAATACAATTCTCACAGGAAAATATAAGGTACTCTGCTAGACTTTGAAATCTCAGTTTATCTTTTGCATTGAACAATTAGTAACCACTTATTGCTTTGCAGGTGTTTTGACACGTTACTTATTCTACAAGTCCTCTGTGGTATTAAAAAGAGCTTCATCTTCTTTCTTTTACACCTACTGAGTGCAGCTCAACACCTACAAGTGTTTCCTGTTATTGTCTCCAATTAAAAGAGTGCTGAAGAGAGTGTTGTGTTTGGGGACAAATGTAGAAAAGAGGAAGACAGGGAAGGGCCATATAGTACAGGCCAACATTAACGGCAGCAATATGCTATAAAATGGAAGGTCAGGCACTAAGCGATATTTAAAAGCAGTGCAATCAGTTTGAACAATACTAGTGACAGTTGTTTATTGGGTTGCCAGAAACGTTGTGATATTTGTAAGCTGTGCAACTGAACTTTGAGACATTGATATGGTGTATAAATCTTAGCACAACTAGTTCTGAGCTCTAGTGATCTCTTTTAACTTTTTCTTTTTCTACATGACAATGGAACCATCATTTTACCAGGAATAATCACAGAAAACAAAAAAATCCTCACTGTGGAAGCAAAGAAGTAGAGAACAGCAGGCTTTTGGTGATAGGCGTATATTTTTGTGCCTATTAGTGATGGGCCGAATACCCCCCTGTTCGGTTCGAATTCAAACTTTAGAACATGGAAAAAGCTTGAATTCGAACTCAATGCAAGTGTATGGGGCTAGAACTTTGAAAATCAATTTACCTCATTTTTAAGGCTTATATGCCATTTATTGGCCATAAAAAGGGTATGGGGATTCGGGTACTGCCCGGGGGGGGGGGGGGGGGGGATATTTATCAATGAAAAAAAACACTTTAAAAAAATATTTTTTTTTAAGGAGCAGTGATTTTACATCACTTAAAGTAAAACAATAAAAATGACAAATTCCTTTAAATATCGTGCCTGGGGGGTCCCCTTAAACTGCCCGTAAAGTGGCACATCTGTACAATGTTTACAAACCTGCTACAGCAAAAATGAAATTTGTAAAGAAAAAAATGACATTTAAAAAGAAAAAAAAATCGTGCAGTTCCCCCTCCCTTCCGGTCTGGTAGCAAAGTTAGGAGGGACCCCATTTAAAAAAGAAAAGAAAAAAAAGCGTGGGGTTCCCCAAAAGTCATACCAGACCCTTGATCCGAGCACAGGCCTGACAGGGGAGGAAAAGGGGGGGGGGGAAACGAGCAAGCGCCCCCCCCCCGATACCAGGCCACATGCCCTCGACACTGGGAGGGTGCTTTTCTAGGGTCGCCCCTGAAAAGCAACTTGTCCCTGTGCCGATGGGGACACTGGCTTCTTCCCCATAAGCCCTGGGGCGTTGGTTTTGGGGGTGCTTGCAGGGGGCTTATTCACATGATGATACCCCTTTAATATTCACATCAGGGTACCCCCCCTTGTAAATGAGTAAGGGGTAATTGTACCCCTACCCATTCACTAAAGGGTTAAATCAAATTGTAAAAAGGGCCAGACTTTTGAAAAAATCCATTATTTGGAAAAAAAAGTTTTTTATTTAAAGTCTTTTATTTAAATTCTTTTATTTAAATTTTTTTTTGAATGGATCCACCGATGTAATCCAGCATCAATCACGACATCCAGTGTTGTACACGATGACAATGACTCGACGAAATAAAAAATACATAGAAATATTTTTTTTGTAAAAACGACAACCGCGACCCATCCGTTCGCGATGAACTCCCGCCACAGAATGGGATTTTGACAGATGCCGGTAACATAGAAACAATTGGGCAGAGCTAGCAGTGACAGCTAATCCCGCCCAACTGTTCACAGTTGTACGACATCTGACAGGTGAGCCATGATTGGGAAAAGTCATCAATCAGGGCCCACTAGACTGTAAGAGCCATGATTGGGCAAAGTCTTGCACCTGACCTCTGGTCAGGTGCAAGGCTTTAGCCAAGCAGGGCTCACAAGGCACAGCGCATTGCGGGCCAAGCAGGGCTCACAAGGCACAGCGCATTGCGGGGAATAGCCCGCCGAACGTCCTGACAGTTCGTGTGTTCGCTGAACACACAAACTGCCGATGTTTGAGTCGAACGTACGTACGACTCAAACATCGAGCCCGTGTCTAGCGCCTATTGCCAAAAGCCTGCTGCCTGTTTAAGGCAAACCTACATGACAATATTATACATGGTTATGTTTTTAAGCTGAACTCCAGGTATAACTTCCTAACTTCCAGCATGGCCCAATGTAGGTATTCATATGCCATGCCTGATAAGCCCCCAGGGATCCTGTAAAACATTGTTGCAGCTTGAGCTACTACAGTGCTTTAAAATGACCTTCTGGGTCCAGTATGGCACTGTGCTGAGCTGCTCTGAAAACACGGGTGGTCACTTGCTTGGCACAGCAGCCATTCAGACAATGCCTAGTATTTTTTAGCAAAGGATACAAGGCATTCTCTGATTGGACAAGGGGCAGATTGTGATGACACCACCCCCTTTCCAAAGTAAGTATGCATAAGAAGTTATACCTGGAGTTGAACTTTGACATACAAAAAATAAAACAAATAATCATTAAAGCAGAACTCCAGTCAAAGTGTTTTTTTTTAATGTGTAGCAGTTTTAGAAAGTCTGTGGGATATCATTTGTTGTTTTTGTCCCTAATAGTGAGATTTATCCACACTTTCTGTCCTAGTAAAACAGTAGTCAGTGAGGTAAAACAACGAAAGAAGGAGCGCTAAAACCCTGGAATACTGGGTGTTTAACAGTTAAACAGTTAAAAGATATAGTGTAACTATTGATGCAGACTCACTTTTGGACGGACGAGGTGGTATCTTGCCGTTAATTATCAGCACGGCTCGCAGGGCGGAATCTGTGGCTAGTCTGTGTGGGAGTGAGCTCCGGGCTGTGGGGCTTCTGTTCAGTCCATGGATGTTGGAAGGTGAATCTTGTGGCCGCATGACCAGTTGAGGCGAAGTACACTGTGCGTGTAGTGGGACGCTCACCGTCAGGTGCAATGAGAGCTCAGCTGGCCAGGCTGCCACTCGTCAGTTGATCGGGAGCAGGAGCACCGCTGTACACCGTTCTGACAGTGGAGCAGTGGTCGCTATGCAAGAGGTTAAAAAGTAAGCTACAGGCTGGGGGACCTTGCGGTCCGTGGAGTGGTCGTTGTGGCTACGCGTTTCGAGGCTCTGTACCTCTTTGTCAAGCCAGAAGTCGTGCACGATCTCAGAACGACTTCTGTCTTGACAAAGAGGTACAGAGCCTCGTATATGTATATATATGTCGTATATATGTATATATATGTACATATATACATATACGAGAACTGTAGCAGAAATAGCATCTTATGGTGCAGTCCTAATTTTTTGTGGGATTTCTTATTAACAGACTTACTCACTAAAAGAGAGATCACCCATCATGTACCGAATAGGGATGATCTGCATGTTGAATGAAGGTAGCCAGATTCCGCTATTCATGGCCACCTTTAGACTAATATATTTTTTGTCACTTGTAGATTTTATTTTAACATATGCATTACATACACAAGAAAAGCTTTAGGGAAATAAATGTTTGTACACATTTTTAAAATGAATGAAAAATGATCAGATGAAAATATTAATAAAACATTTGTGTGATTTAGATTACCTATCTGTATTATTCCCCTTCTATGCCCCTGATAGGGTCCTACGAGAAATTGTAAGCCAGGAAGTCATACTTTTTATCCCTATGCTCCTTTCCCTACATAATCCAATCTTATCTTAGTTTGAGGGCTTTGACTGCCAGGCAGCATGTCTCTTTCTATTGCCTAGCTGAATCTGTACATTTTGTTTGTTATGCTCCCCACTTGCTGTCTGTGTGGCCTCTCATTTCTCCCCTCTCATATCCGCAGTCTCTCACATCCTTTCCTGTCCTCTATATCTGTGTCTCTGCAGCCTCTCCTAACCTTTTTTTGTGTGGCTGTATCTTTGCAGTCTCTTAAACCCCACCCCTCACTATGTGATATATTTGCCCAAAAGACTTTACTGATTATATTTTACGGTTAACATCTGGGCGTGTGCCAATAATGTAATGTCTCGTTCACACCTAGGCGTATTGCATATGCGCGTCTGTCGCGCGTTTTTTTAACCGCAATTCGCGGTAAAAAAGTCGCGCGACCGTCGCGCGTTTCCGAAGGCTACTTGGCTGTATCCCAATGGAAACGCGCAACAAAACGGCCCAAAGTAGTACCTGTACCTTTTCAGGCGTGGGCCGTTTTGTAGCGCGTTAGGGACGGGCGGAAATACGCCAAGGTGGGAACGAGACCATTGACTACAATGGGATTTATATTTTTGAGCGTTTTGTAGAGCGTTCGTCAAGCGTAGAACGCGCTACAAAACGTTCAGGTGTGAACGAGGGCTAAAGGTAGCATTAGGATTTTATTTTCAATTTTTTTTTATTTAACAAGTTCCACCAACACAAAGGCAGTTACAATCTGAGCACATGACCAAGATAAACAGCCACTAAAATACAAAGGCCAGTTTTTGATATACATCTAGGGATCAAATAAGAATATAATTTAAAGGTATCACAGGAACTAAATAGCCAACCAGAGCTATGCAACCAAAAATGAAGAAGTGGTGGAAACAAGATTGTTTTTTCTTTCCATCAAACCGTGGAATTAAACAATGGAACAAGAAGGTGGAGAGTGAGAGGAAAGAACAAAACTTAGGGTGGGGATGACTTAGTGGGGAGAGCACTAGAAATATTGCAGATATTCTGCAAGAATTGTTCCCTGTAGAACCAAGTCTGCAAGTACTCTTCATATCCATCTTATAAGGCAGAGGTGTCCATCAGCCTGATCTGATTCATTCTAGCAAACCACTGACATTGTTTCTATGTGATGGAGATGCACACCCTGGCAGAATTCAACAAGTGAACCAATAACGATTTCCTGAAGAATTTTTTTCTAATCTTTCCACATTTTTGTTGAAAACATGCATAATAATATATATATATATATATATATATATATATATATATATATATATATATA